AGTGTGTTCATCAAAACTGAACTATGAACCTCAACAAGTACCAGGACCCTTGTATCAGGGTATAAAAATAAAGTAATAATAATCTCTACGTGCTCACCACTGCCATGCAAATAACTTTATTACAGAGAGAACAATGTGATCCAAGAATAAGGGGTTTCCTATCAGAAGTGAATGGATCTCTCACAACAAAAGCATCTTCCATAATTCTGCAAAAACAAGGAAACATGTATGTGTACATATTGAACCATTTTTATGAAACAAATCACTGATGTGATTGAACATAGATTTAGGATTATGTACACTAGACAGTAGGTAGACTGGTGTAATGCGCCAGTCAATGTAAACCCCAACCCCTCCCACCTTGGTTATTATTGGGCAAGTATAGGGCTATTCCTATGACATCGCAGCACCCCCAGAGGCTCAGGATAATTTGGGTCGAACTGATCGTGAATTCATCAAGACAGTGCCTTAATTTGCTTATGCGCATTGATGTTTCAAGGAACGTGAAGAAAGAACGAAAAATAAAGACAAAAGGCGGGAAATGAGGTAGGGGATGATCATGGTAGTAAGCCACTTCCGTTTTCCCCAGGGGGTGGGGCACTACACACTTAGCAGCATCAGTTATTTTTCTTGTCCCCACATATCCCGAAATGGGGTTTACATTGACTGGCACATAAAATGAAATTTCTCATGGTATAGGGAGAAATTATTGTTTTGTTGTCACTAGAGGGCGCTATAACAGATTGAAGAAAATCAGTCTACGCGCTGCTATTGGGCAAACAACATCAACATTTTTTTTTCTTTTTTCTGTTTAACCTTGTTATTAACCAACTGTACCTCTAAAATGAAAAATGACCTAATACTTTTCCAGAGTTTTTTAAGCCCCATAGAAATCGTTTTTTTAACTACCGGGGGGTATGCTTTTTAGTGCGAGGTAAATTTTGTCTATAAATGGTATTTTTTTCTCAAAATGTAGTGCTTTGTTTATATGTATAACAGTGATATTTTGATTTGTAACTATTGGTTAATAAATGAGCAGTGTGACCACACAGTACTGGTATATATTGGTAGTTATTGTTGTTGTTATAAGAGTGGGGCTGTAAACAAAACGAACAAGTACATATGCCATGATAAGTTGATGTGAACACAGAATAAATACATATACTGATGTCAATAACTTAGTTGTGGAGAAAATTTCACGTTTGCGTTCTTTCTTTGAACACGTCAAACACCAAAGTGCTCCAAACCGAAGCGGACCCGGCCAGGGCGACAGTAATACGGCTGTACATAAAATATAAATTTTGAATACTTACACGATTGACTTCGAAAATGGCGGAGCCTTTCCATAATAATCGTATGACGTACTGAGACCACACTGTTCACAGATAAATGTGCCGATTTTTCTGTGTTTCTGTTCAATGACAGCCGGTGTAACCATGTTTATTTCACTGTGAACTAGCAGACTACACAGACGTGGCAAACGTCGCTCGTAAGAACCAGCTGTTGAACTTTGACCTGAGTGACTTACTTTTCCTACAAAAAAATACAAGCAAATATTATATAGTAACGTTAAATAGTATTATTTCTGAATAAAATTGTTCTGTGCAATTAATAATTAGATAAATATAAACTATGGGCTCGCACTTTTTTTGGAAACGCTGTGACGTATGAATGGCGGGAAAGACAACATGGCGGATACCAGAAACAAATGCATCATGATCATGATGTAAACATAGCTCGTGAATGAATATTCACCTTGAACTGTAAGCTGTACAAATTGGTGAGTAATGCAAGTATTTCATTCATATGCGTTTCGTCCATTTGATTGAGAAAAATTATAAAGTATATTTATATTGGTCGCGATCGCACGATGTATTTTTCGAAGTGTTGCACCGGAAATGCAACTTGACTTATCCGGCCATACTGCAGCTAATCCGGCCAATGATAGAGGGTCTGTGGCAGTGCACCGTAAACTTCAGACGGAGCAATTCAGTTGTAATAATTATAGTCGTGGAGAACTTAACCGTTACGTTCTCAATAGACCGAAGGATCGGTTAGCGTTAGTTTCAATCAGTGATCGGTTGCCAGGTTGACTCTTGTTTGGTAAGTACCATTTAACATTGGGGGGGGGGGGGGTAATATATCATTAGTATATGCATGGAGGTAAAAGGGGACATGGAGGTAAATGTTATATGTAAAAGGGTAATGTTCACAGGATTTTATGTTTTGATATTTTGAACATATTTACAACGATTTTTAAACACACAAATGATGACGATGATTTCTGTTGTAATGTCACATAAATCTAATTTACCGGATTTTA